CTGCCCCGCGCCCTGGTCTGCTCCGGCCGGGAAGGCGGCTCTGCACGGGCCCGGGGGCTGTTAACACGCTTGCCTTCGAACAGAACTGGAGCAACACACAAAGCCTTGGCTGGGGGGAGGCAGCCGGGGACAGTCCTGCTTGGAGCGGGGCTCGGACGAGGTGGCCTCCCGAGCTCCCTTCCAGCCGGGTTTCTGGGATTCTGCGATCCTATCTAATCGCTTCCCTTCCAGCGCCTGCTGCGATTAAAACTTCTGCCGATGTAACTGGGAGCGGGGATGGCTGGGGGGAGGGGGTAAAAAAACACTCCCCCCCACCACCAGCAAGCTACAATAACTCGGGTTCAGTTCCCGTCCCGCTTGGCACCGAGACTGCTGCATTTTTATATAATTTTTTTATTTTGCGAATCTCTCTCTCGCTTGTTTAGGGGTTTTTTGTGGGGTGGGGCGGGGGTTGTTTTGCAATAGTCTATTTTCCTAATTGGAAATCGTAGGGTTTTGCTGGCTAGTAGCTGCTTAAATTCGATTAGTAGCTGGTTAGATTAGATTAGGATGCATTAGATTAGTAGTTGTTAGATTATATTAATAGTTGGTTAGATTAGATTCGAATAGATTACATGTGTAGTTGGCTAGATTATATTAGTTGGTTAGTTTATGTTAGATTAGTAGTTGATTAGATTAGATTAGATTGGATTAGATTAGCAGTTGGCAGATTAGATGTTTCTTTAAATACCTAGCAGCACTCGCAGTAAACCTGGTATCGGAAACCCAGAGCTGCAGTCCTGTTTGAGGGCATCGCTTCCTCGATGGCACAACAAATTCAATACGCATTTACGAATAATAAAACATTTCGGATAATCAGAGAGGAAAGGATTAATTTAATTATTCCCCGCTCTTGTTTTTAAGAATAGGGCTCGTGAACAGCGCGGGGGCCCGACCTGCCTTCCAGAGGATCGGACACTCATTTGATTGTGCATTTTCCAACATCCGCGTTAAGGCTGAGTTTGTCCTCCGGAATGAGTCGGGTTTTGGCAAGGCTGGAGCCCGTGTGCCTTCTTCGTTGCCCGCGGGGAAGCTCAATCGTAGGCCGCCCCCCCCCGGCAAGGACATTGGCCTTGCGGGACCAATAGCATCCCTTTCGAAACTATAGACGTGTGGGTTTGGGGGAAAGGGCTGCATCGAAAAAGAAACTCCCCCAGCATCCGCATTTGATACCTAGCAGTTTATTAGAAATGCAGCCCTGGACACTGAAAAGGTAACCGCGGTGGTTTTGGATCTGTTTGGTTGTTAAAAAAAGAAGTAGTAGTAAACGGCTGGTTAGTGAAAGCCATCATTGGATTAATTATTAGAAGCTTGTGGAGGGGGGGTACGGACTCATTGATTTGACACTTAGACTTGTGTAAGAGGTGGAGGGGAGTCACCCTCTTTATACGGAGCGGCGTAGCTGAAAATCAGGATCTCTTCTACTTTTAGTTGAGCTGATAGGAAGCCAAGGGCTTTCCGTGGTTGCAAACCTTCCCATTTTCAAATACCTGCCCTAGTTTTGTTGTGTTGTGTTTTTTTAAAACTGTCGTTGCCCTCGGACTGATGCTGCGTTTCTGATGCTCTCGCCATCAGAGCGCATTTTCGAAGTCACTTCACTGTGCAGAGAAGCGCTGCGCGTATTTAAACCCATAGCGCGGTTCCCTGCAGCAGGCAACCCGCAAGAGGCTTGCAAGGAGGCGCACACTTCCAAGAGCCTCCCAGAGCAAAGCACGCAGCAAACAGCCTCCGTTTACACCGGCTGGTTGAACCGAATTCACTGCGCCGTTTTGCTCTAGTAAAGAGAGTTCAGTTTTAGTCATTCAAGACCAGAAAAGCACCCCAGTATTATTATCCCCTCTCCCCCCAGCTGGGAAATGCAGTGATTCTCATCGAGGGGTTCAGTATTAATCAGTGCGAGGGGAGCAGCGGGGGCAGAGGGAGCAAATCTTGGCCCGGGTGATGTTAGGAGAATTTTAAAATACGAAACAAGAAGTGAGGCAGTGAGGGCCTCAAAGAAATCCGATTTGTGCTGAATGGACCCTCTCCCTCGGGTCCATTCCTAGAGGTGCAGGAGGCCAAAGCAGACATTTTGTTGTTTTAATGAACGCAGTAACAAGCGCAACTGTACAGGAACGCGGGCGCACGGTTCTTTAGTGACGCTAATGCGAAGCAGGCTAATTCTCCTGCACATCAACGCACTAATAAAGGCGTGTAAGGAATTGTTCGCTCGAGAAATCTAGGTTCAATCCTTCCAAACCCCCCCCAAAAAACAAAACCCCAAACAACCCCCAACCCTCCCACTTCAACTTGCATCCAGGGCTCGTTTCGGCAGAGCTCGGAGGTCCCCAGGCAAAGCAGGTAGCTGATGTCCGGGGAAACAGCCCCACGTCTGGGAACAATCGTCCCACTAGTCAAAGGCAGCAAGAGAGTCGGCGCACAGGGGCTAAGGGCAGGGGCGCAGGGGCGCGCAGCCCCGGGCACCGGCCTGGCGTCTGGGGCCAAAGCGGGAGCGCAGCGCGGCCGGGGGAAGCAGAAACTGGAGCTCAGGTGCATCCAGCCCCGCGACTCCCATCCCGGCGGGCCGCGGTCACCCGGCTCTTGCTGTGGGTGCGAGCCTGGCCTCCCCCCCGGCTCCGC